GTGGATCTAGGAACCTTAATGGAAGTTAAATCTCCATAAAACAAGTGATTCTAGAACCTTAAAGCATGTCTTTTAACTTGAACTAATAATAAAATGATGAAATTAAATCATTTTGCTTCTTTTTATTTTGTTCTTTAAGTAACTAAAACAATAAAAATATGAAGAAGTGCGAGAATACGAAAGTTGTTCCAGCACAAGTAACTTTTGAAGAAAATATCTTGTTAACATTCAGTGTCTGCCGTTACAATTTTCACTTGTTGGAACAAATTACTTGAGATTTTGGTTAACCCACTACAAGATTAAGAAATTAATGGAATAAAAAAATGCACCACCATAAGAAAGACAGAATTTACGTGGTTCAGCTCCAATTTAATTGAGCCTATGTCCACGGGCACTCACAAGGAAAAATTCACTATTAAAATAGGGAGATACAATTTGTGGTACTCTCAGAAAAATACCCAATCCCCAATTACACACAAATTTTACTCACAGTATTTTTGAATGTGAGACACATTCAAAAAACACTGAGCAAAGTAATTTTAACCACTCTGATCTTGCTCACCCTCACCCGAAGCACTCACAAAACTGTTTTATTTTCTAGAGCTCACTTTTCTTTGGATTGCTCTTCTTGGTGTGATTTGCCGAATGGCCAAATGGCCTTTTATGGCCAAATGGCCTTTTATAGCCAAGTGCCAACCACCCACAATGAATGCAATGGGCTCCAAAGTCATAATCCAACAATGCACAATAAATGTTGCATGGACAAAGTTGCAACAACCAAATTTCCATTTCAAAGGCTGCCATGAGACTTCTAATTTTTCAACAAAATGGGGCTGCCATGAGATTTCCATGCAACCAAATTTCAAAGGCTGAAATTTGCATGCTTTTTCAACCACCATGCAAAACCCACATGCCGTAACAATCTCCAACTTGGCGAGCATTCAAAAAATAAGATTTAGAACCAATAGCTTTATTCCCTTGGTGCCATAATGCCCCGAGGGGCATTAAGCAATTTGGACACTAATCAAGTCCAAGCAATGCTTGAACTTGATTCCACTTACCGGCTTTGTCATCATATCCGCAGGATTCTCATCAGTTGATATCTTTTCAACGAGCACATCTCCATTGGATATAACCTCCCTGACAGAATGATGCCTAACTTGAATATGTTTGGTTCTCTCGTGGTACATGGTGTTCTTCATCAAGTGAATGGCACTTTTACTGTCGCAAAACATCATCATCTCATTTTGTTCTACCTCGAGATCACTAACCCTTTAGCCATAATGCTTCCTTTACTGCCTCAGTAATTGCCATGTACTTTGCCTCAGTTCTTGACAAGGCGATTGTTGATTGCAATGTAGCTTTCCAACTAATGGCACACCCTGAGAGAGTAAAGACATATCTTGTAGTTGATCTCCTTTTTTCCAAATCACTGGCAAAATCAGAGTCGACAAATCTGACTACATTTCCATTTGGATTAGCACTCCGATCATAGACTAGTCCAACATCTATTGTACCTCGTAAATACCGGAGGATCCACTTCATAGTTTCCCAATGTTCTTTACCCAGATTAGCCATATACCGACTAACCACACTAACTGCATGTGAAATATCAGGACGAGTACATACCATAGCATACATTAAGCTCCCAATAGCACTCGCATAAGGAACATGTGCCATAAACTTCTTCTCCTCCTCTGTTTCTGGTGACAAATTTGATGAAAGCTTAAAATGTGCTCCCAAAGGAGTAGTCACAGCCTTAGCTTCATGTAAGCCAAACCACTCAAGTACCTTTTCAATGTACTTCTTTTGAGAGAGAAACAATTTACCTCCCTTGCAGTCCCTGTGAATCTCCATTCCTAAGATCTTTTTAGTTGCACCCAAGTCTTTCATCTCAAACTCACCACTAAGCTGCTTCTTCAAATCATCAATGATTAACATGCTTTTGGCAGTAATAAGCATGTCATCAACATACAATAGCAAGTAAACCCAAGAACCATCTCCAAGCTTTTTATGATAGACACAATTATCATAGTTGCTCTGAGTGAATCTACTCTAAACCATGAAGTTGTCAAATTGTTGGTGCCACTATCGAGGTGACTGTTTCAATCCATATAAGGATTTTTGGAGCAAACAAACATGATCTTCTTTTCATGAAACTATGAACCCTTCTGGCTGAGACATATAAATCTGTTCCTCCAACTCACCATGTAAGAAAACAGTCTTCACATCAAGTTGCTCTAAGTCAAGATCATATAAAGTAACCATGGCAAGTAAAATAGGGATAGAGCTGTGTTTCACCACGGGAGAGAATACCTCATGGAAATCAATACCCTATCGTTGTGTGAAACCCTTCGCAACCAATCTGGCCTTGAATCTGGGTGTCTCTACCCCTGGGATTCCTTCTTTTCTCATGAAGACCCATTTGCATCCAACAATTCTTTGTCCCTTTGGTGGCTTCACAAGCTTCCATGTTTGGTTCTTATGTAGAGACTCAATCTCCTCTATCATGGCAGCAAGCCAATAAGGAGATTCTTTACTGGTAATTGCTTCCTGATAAGTGTTGGGATCCTTAGCCTCCACTGGTTCTGTAATTGATAGAGCATAGGCAACATAATCTATATAGCCATATCTCTGAGGTGGTTTGGTCTCCCTCCTCTGTCTACTAGTAGCAATATTATACTGCTGTTGTGTTTGTTCAGGTGCCTCCACCTCCATTGGAGTATCTGTTAGCTCTAGATCTTGCACCACATCTAGATTCTCTTGGACAATGTTGTCATCTCACATTGCCTTTTTTGGAGTTATTGCTTCAAACTCCACTTGCTTGGTAACTCCATGGTCTGGCTTTGCAATTGTTGACTCCTCTTTTGCTTTTTGGAGCATAGCAGACTCATCAAAGGTTACATCTCTACTCATGAGGAACCAAGTTGATTTCTAAACACACCACAATCTATAGCCTTTTACTCTGGAAGCATACCCTAGAAATATGCACTTCACTACCCTTGGCTCAAGTTTACCATCCATAAGATAAGCATACACAGGACAACCAAATATCCTCAACTATGAATAATCAGTAAGAGAACCTAACCATAATTCTTCTGCAGTCTTTAATCCAATTGTTGTGGATGGAGACCGATTTACAAGATAGCTAGCATGATTGACAGCTTCTGCCCAAAAGTCCTTTGATAATCCAGCATTTGAAAGCATACACTGTGCCCTTTCCAAGAGTGTACGATTCATCCTTTCTGCAACACCATTTTGCTGTGGTGTCATCTTGACAGTGCAATGTCTCACAATTCCATTATTCTTGCAAAAAGTATCAAACTCACCACTGTAGTACTCAAGACCATTATCTGTTCTTAGACGCTTGATTTGTTTTCCAGTCTGCTTCTCAATCAGCATCTTCCATTACTTAAAGGTGAGGAACATGTCACTCTTACTCTTTAGGGTGTATACCCACACCTTTCTTGAATAATCATCGATGAAGGTCAACATATACACAACTCCACCTTTTGATGCAACAGGCGAGGGACCCCACAAGTCTGAGTGAATGTAATCAACTGTGCCTTGAGTTCGATGAACTCCTTTGCCAAACTGCAACCTGCATTGCTTGCCATAAACTCAATGCTCATAGAAGTCTGGCTTGCCAATTTTTTGGCCACACAGAAGACCCCACTTGCTCAGCTCCATCATCCCTCTTTCACTCATATACCCAAGTCGCATATGCCATAATCGAGTTACATCTCTATCTGGACTGCTTGAAGCTGACACAGCACACGTGCCATTGACTGTGCTTCCTTGTAAGTGATAAAGACCACCAACTTTCTTCCCCTTCAATATTACAAGAGCTCTTTTAGAGACTTTAAGAACTCCACCTTCACAGGAGTATCGGCAGCCCTTGGAGTCAAGCTCACTCATGGAAATGAGATTTTCCTTCAAACCTGGCACATGATGAACGTCGAATGTTCTAACCATCCCATTGTACATCTTGATCTGGATGTTGCCAATTCCAATAATAGGCAATGTTGTATCATCACCAAGAACCACCATGCCAGTGGCTGGTTTATATATTTTAAACCAGTCACGTTGTGGGCATACATGGAATGAGCAACCCGAATCTAAAATCCATTCCTCATCAAAGGAGTTTGTAGAGACAGACAGAACACAATCTCCATCATATCACTGCAACTAGCAATGTTGGCATCACCAGATTTTTCAGCTTTGTTCTCCTTGAGCTTGGGACAATTTTTCTTGACATGTCCCGTCTCATTGCACTTGTAACATCAAGCATGCTTGGCTCTCGATTTGGATCGAGACTTTCCTCGCTTTTTGAAAGTTTTGTTATTTTGTCTACCTCTTATGACCAATCCTGTTGCTTGATGAACACTCTTGTCTCCGGACACCTTCTTCTTCAATTCTCTTGAATTTAGGGCTGCCATGACATCTTCCATAAAGAGTTGATTTCTACTATGAAGATGAGTTTCAACAAAGTTGTCATAAGAGTCAAGCAATGAGCACAAAACAATAATTGCTTGGTCTTCATCTTCGATCTTCACATCGATATTCTTCAAGTCTAAAACGAGCTTGTTGAACTCATCAAGATGGTCTTTGATGGAACCACTTTCATTCATACTGAGGGTGAACAACCGTTTCTTCAGATACAAACGATTAGTGACTAATTTGGTTAAGGGCTTCCAGCTTCGACCATAATGTAGAAGCTGAATTTTCTTCTACAACCTCCCCCAAGACTTCGTTAGAAAGTGAGAGTTGAATTGCACTCAATGCCCACTCCTTCAAGTCTATATTCTCTTCCTTTGGTAGAGTTTCCAATAGCTTGCCTTCCTTTTCTAATGCTTTTCACAGCCCCTGCTGTATTAGCATGGCCTGCATCTTCAACCTCCATAAGCTGAAATTTTTGCCACCATTAAATTTCTCAATCTCGTACTTGGCTCCGGATGCCATCACGATTAAACCAATTTCTCAAGCACTAACCACCGCCATAGCTTTGATACCAGTTTGTTGGAACAAATTGCTTGAGATTTTGGTTAATCCATTACAAGATTAAGAAATTAATGGAATAAAAAAATGCACCACCATAAGAAAGACAGAATTTACGTGGTTCAGCTCCAATTTAATTGAGCCTACGTCCACAGGCACTCACAAGGAAAAATGCACTATTAAAATAGGGAGGTACAATTTGTGGTACTTTCAGAAAAATACCCAATCACTAATTACACCCCAATTTTACTCATAGTATTTTTGAATGCGAGACACACTCAAAAAACACTTAGCAAAGTAATTTTAACCACTCTGCTCTTGCTCACCCTCACCCAAAGCACTCACAAAACTCTTGTATTTTCTAAAGCTCACTCTGCTTTGGATTGCTCTTCTTGGTGTGATTTGCCAAATGGCCAAATGACCTTTTATAGCCAAATGCCAACCACCCACAATGAATGAAATGGGCTCCAAAGTCATAATCCAACCATGCACAATAAATGTTGCATGGACAAAGTTGCAACAACCAAATTTCCATTTCAAAGGCCACCATGAGACTTCCAATTTTTCAACAAAATTGGGCTGCCATGAGATTTCCCATGCAACCAAATTTCAAAGGCTGAAATTTGCATGCTTTTTCAACCACCATGCAGAACCCACATGCTGCAACATCACCCAAAATGGATTCAGTTTCTAGAGAACCACAAAGCTACTCAGCTTTTTTCTTCCCTTCTGTTTTGTAATTTGAAGGGTTTGAGATTGGGTGGATGGGGGCAAAAATCCAAAAAATGACCAATATGAACCAAAACCGGAATGGACTTTCGAAAGAGAAGAGGCACAGAACTGTATCAATGAAAGATTTATGCCCCATTCACCATAAAAAAATATATAAGCTATATTAGCCTTCTTGATTTTGAAGCATTTAGTTCATTTTGTATAACATTGATCCATGAAGCATTAATGGACAGGTTAAACGGCCTAGTTTCAATCTGACTTATTTTAAACATTTACCATGGCAAGAAACAACTATGGTAGCTGCAAGATTTTGTCAGCAGTTCTTGCGCGTGTTGTGAAAGCCAAATCTTGAGAAAGAGAGAGATTTATTATTTAATCAAGTATCACAACCTTACGAGCATAGATATTATACAAGCTGTAAGCCTAGACAACTACTTAGCTTGTAGTAGTTGGTATAGTAGTTACTAGTACCTTAATAATCCCTAATTAAGTAACCACCATAGTTTTTAGCTGCCTGGTCACTTGTAATAGCATCCCTCTTTCCAGTTGGAACTTGGGGTAACCTGAAGACATACCATCCCCCACTGGTTTTGATTACAGACTCTTTGGCCCTTATTGCAGCGGGCTCCTGATATGAATTCAGTCCACCATGGGCTTGAGTTGCTTGCAGCAGATTGCTTCTGGGGTTACCAGCTTCTTTTTGTGGAGGAACTCGGTCATTGAAATAGGTAGCAGAAGTGCTGCTGAAACCAGGCTTCCAAAGTACTGTGACACGTTGAGGCCCCAGCTGCTGGCGATCTTGAAGAGGATTGCACCTGATAGTGCGGCCAAACTGTTCTTCTATATCTTGGAAGCCTTCATCTGCAAGCCGGCGAAGGTCATCTTTTTGATAGTATGCCATAGTGTTTTTGATTTTCTAACTGTAAACAAGAATGTGTATGTCTTGTTTTGCTGTCACATAAGAGATAAAAGGCAGCCATTATATAGGCAGGTAAAGTTATAAAATGGTGCACTATGGATTTTTTTTTATTTAGGGTCCTGCATAATTGAAGGGAATATTGAAATTTTCTGAGCAACCCCTTTCTGTGATTCCATTTTTGATTTTTTTTTTTAACAGCAAAAAAGATTTTTATTATTGAAACTGAGTACAATGGGTACTCAAACCCATTAACAAACAGAAAAATAACAGCCACTTAATGTTAATCCCATCTTTCAGACCATTCCTCCTCTA